ATTTAAAACCGGTAACACACATCCTTTAATTGCTAAAACCTGTCATAGAATATCTTGAGTTGGAAGGGACCTTAAAAGTCATCCTAGTTCCAACCCCAATGCTGTGGGCAGGGGAGATACTTTACAGTATACCAGGTTGCCTAAAGCCCCATGCAACCAGGCCTCATCCAGGTCACCCACTCTACTTCTTTAGAAGCATGTCTTTGTAATTTCATCTTCTTTCTTTTTACCATCTTGGAAAAAAAATTGAAGAAATTCTTCTGTGGACATTTCTTTACTTACAAGTCTCTACAAGCAGACTCCTTGGCTTCCTGGCTTTTTTAAAACTTTGCCAACACTGGCCCTGGACTTTCAGATTAAGTTCAGCATTTCATATGTTCATCAGCAACAACCAAACACACAAATCACACACTCATTTGCAAGGATAATCAAACTACCTTTGAACTCTGCCAATTACTAACTGAAAGCCACAGGACTCTTCAACTGGAGTTAAGCAAACTACAGATGTGTCTCCATACACATCTGCTCTTTCCTGTTTCTCCCCAAACTTAGAAGGATACGCACCATAGTAACCAAAATAATTAAAATGAAATGCCTCTCATCGCCTACATCCTATCCTAATGGTCACTGCTTCCCGACATTGCCAGCAGCTCTATTGACATATTCACTGCTTCTAACTGGTTGAAGAAATAATGAAAGATGGAGGGAAAAACACTTTGTTCCCCAGAGCACATTAGGAAGAAGATGCTTTTAAGAGTGAGGAACAAACCTAACATAAGCACAATTTCAACTAAAGCAAGAGAAATCAGAATTTAACCTTCTGGAAGATTGGTACATTATGAGTTAAAACAACCTCCTCTTACATGACAGAGCATTTCAGAAGACAATATTTTCAAAAGGAAGGAGAATCTCTGCACTTCCAACCTGCTGCTTACATAACAGAGGTTTCTACTGGACGTATCACAGGAAGAAAGCTCTAAGAGATCCTAGCTTTCAGTCAGAAGGGAAATGCAGGCATTAAAAAATTGTAAACTATCTTGAACTACAATAGATGCTTCACTAGCTTTATTTCCCAGGTCCCAAGTACAGCTAGGAATTATGTCCATCAACTACCTTTAAGTACTGGAAACCTACCATAGAAACAAGGTGAAATGGAAACTGGAAAAGCTTTTAACATAAAGGAAAACAGAGTGACATGAGTTCTACCACAAACTTCATTTTGGAATCCCCAAAACTACAACAAACCCAAACTCCTCTGTTTATCACATTTTAAAATGAAACTCACCACATTTTTTCTTTTCATTAAATCTTAAAAACAACTTACTATAGCTTTTAATATAATTTGAGAACATAACTTAACTTTTGGCAGCTACTGGCACAGAAAACTGCAGATCAGACCTGAACTTGCACCACGGTTTTACTGCACTTCTTTGTCAAATCTGGTATTTGAAAGAAACCTGATTCAAATTATTAATGAGTAGAATAATAATTAGTGCAAACATATGCCACCCAACTAATACTCAAACCCAGGTAAGAATAAATTTCTTCTTTGTTCTTCTTTGAATTATGCCTTAAGAAAGCAAGAATAGGAAAAAACCACTATTACTTTGCAGTGTTCCTCCTTTTTTTTTTTAAATTAGGTATGCCTAAACAATTATGAATGATCTATGTTACTTTCAGGAAAATCCCAAATAATTCCATTTGCACTGAGTGAAAGTTTTGAGGGCTGTCTCAATTTTGAAAGAAACAAACACACCAAGAAAAGACCACTCTCCTAGGCTGAAATTACTGATACTTTATTAGGTTTAGCACTGAAGGTCAACAAAAGAGTACTTACCTTCTGTTTTGGAAAGAGTTTTGGAATAGAAATCAGTCTGTTGCTATGTGACTGGTTTCCAGGCAGCAGTTCCACTCACTTCTTCAGGGAAACTACGTGTTCTTCTGTTTCTGCAAATGCTGTTTATATTGAGTAAATCCAAGCATGTTCAACTCAGACAACATACTGTGAACCATTAATGAAAAAAATGCATTTGCAAAAACCAGAACATAATACACTGACCTCTCTCAACTCCTATTTGGAGAAAAGCGATGCATCATATACATGACAGATTGCTGGCATTACATTTTCTGGCTGTTGACTTGAGAGAATGCCAACTTTTATGAAATAAACTTGATCCATTCCGTTTATTTTGTGAATAAACATGAACACCTTCCTCCATTTCTTACCACATTTGAAGGGCTTAGACATCTCAAAAACTACAAGCATCAATGGAAATACTACAAAAGGGTGAAATTTTCACTTAATACTGATGAATGTCCCTCAAGAACACACCAAGGATGCATTAATAAAATCATTTTTCCTTACAAGTTTTTTACACTATTTTTATTTGATCCTGTCTATAAAAAAGTGTCTCCGTCAATTTAGCATGTTATGACTCACTTAAGGAAGTTCAGAAAAATGAGTGGTAATTAAAAAATTCAGTACAATATGATGAAATCCATTCAAGTTGAATTCAAACATCATTACTTAAATCAAACTTCATTGCCCTGTTTTTACCAGCTCTGAATTAAACAAGCTAAATTGAATCAAACTCCTATTTGGTTATTTCCTCAGATAATAAATAAGTCACTCAGAAAAAAAAAAAGCCCCAAATCCACATTTATATCTGTTGAATTTTAAAGAACTTAAAGGAAATTATTTTGCTTTTTAACATAATTAGAATCCAGTCAAATAAATTAGGAGGCATCAGGTTTACCTGCATATTGTAAATAAGAGGAAAAAAAGTCAGAAGTCATGCATACTAAGACCTAGTCTGTACATTTGCTGAGAAACGATTATGACAACAAATTCTAACTTCAAAAAAGACCAAACATGTTCTACAAATTCAATTTCCCTGGAGAAAAATAAAATACAAGAATGGCAAAGAGAAGGAAAAAGGATTAAGAAGAAACCAGGGATCACCTCTTATGATATAGGGAGCAAAAGGTTAGACGATGAAAGGGGGTTTCTTTGCATGAGAGGATTCAGCCACATCTTTTGCAGTGGGTCTAAGAGGACTGTATCTCCCAGCAACACTGTCCAGCGCTGAACACATGCTGCAGCTCAAGTGATAAAGCAGTGTTGCTGTGCACCCTTCTGATACAAACCAAAGATGCGCACACTCCCAAAAAAATGCCCAAACTCGCCTACAAAATTATACAACCCATAGACACATATTAAAGAACAACATTCAAGTTTCAAGGTCAATACTCTAGACCTGTGTAAGACAATTTAATTTCCACGTGAAATGCAATTCTCTCTTTACCATCTATGGTAGAACTTTAATCTTTTCTTACACAAACTCACATACTTTTTCTATGGATATTAGGCTGTGGAAGCCATACTATATAGCTTCCTCCTATTTCACTGCTTGCACAAGTTAAAAGATCTAATATTAATATGCTACAGAGAAGTAAAAAGGAGAAGGAGAAACAGATGAAAGCTGTTCACTTCTCTGTGCTGAAGAACTAGGCTCTACCTCTGCCTCCATGAAGACTCTTACCTGGAGAAATCAGGGATGTGAGCTCCTCTGCACATAATGTATGTCTCTCATTTTCTCTGCAGGCGATTTGCGATTTGAGGATATGACTTGTAGAAGAGCTGGAAGTATAATGTAACTGACCAATAATCTACAAAGATCACACACCAGAAAAAGGACACTGACAACTAGTGACCACTTTGGCTCTTAAGTGAATCTGTGTTTCAGCTCCTCTTTCATAAAATGTGGGGGGAAAAGTGGTATCTTGCTGCCTTCCACTGTACATAAAAAGAAATGTTCACTGATGTGCAAACCCTGACTGACAGCCACTGGGACAAAACTAAATACTACGGTTCCGTCACTAAAGCAAGCATTGGTAGACTTTCCTGGTTTAATTACACTTTTGACATGGCTTGGCCAAGACTGTGGCTCAATTTCTAATTATTACATAGAAAAGTATCTTTCTTCACAGAGCTTTTATGAGAAGAACCACATGCTTGAGATTATGAGGGACTCTGATACTATGGTGATGCAGGATATACTCAAGAATGAAACATGGCCAAGTACGACCATGGTAACTACATAAAGAGCTTAAAGTTTTCAGGACGAGGAAATTAACCTGAAATTCTACCCACATTTTCTCCATCTCTATTTTCCCTTTGACTTATTTGTAACATTAAAGAATACAGAAATAATACAGGAAAGTGGAAAAAAGTCAAATAAGGCATGTGTTGGAAGTTTTCTTCAAGCCTACATCTAATGCACAATGCTTATTAGGATATAACTCCTGCCAGAATGTGTGTGCTGAGCTGACAAGTATTAGCAGAAATGTAAATGTATATTGAAGTACAAGAGATCATGCCTAAATGACCACCCCATTCCAGTTAGGAATCCTTTCTCCTGTCATTGGAAGGATACATACACACTTCTGCTTAACTCAGAAAATCCGCACGGGTTGCTCCCAGCAAATACCACAATTACATAATAGTACACAGAATAAAAATGAAGTATATAGAACTACTCGTGCCACTTACAAGACTAATTGGGGAATTGTGGGTCTCTTTCCTCAAAAAGTGCTCACACTCAAAAAAACATCATACTTTGTCAAGAAAATGTCTCTGTACGACATATTGGCCACTTCTACCATCTCCAATAATTCAGTAAGCCTTTTCTATCAAATACACAAACTCTCTTTACAGTCATATTAAGCATTTCCAGCTTAAGAAAGGCAGCACTGGAGTGGCACAGTCCAGGGACTGCAGACCCTCACTCATGCAGAATAGCAACTGAACTGCTGCGGGCAGAAGCGGACACTACCGCAAAACAGAGTTCTTTAACTCCACCAGCTCAGTCACAAAGCTCCTGCCTTACACCGAGTTTTGCCTCCTTTGCCCATAGATGTGCTGACTTGTGTTCCATACCGGTGTGGGACCAGCGCACCGGAGTGCCGGTGGGGCGGGCTGAGCGGGGAGCCGCGTTTACCTGCAGCAGGTGGTGGGCCGCCAGGTAGCCCAGGCGCGGGCCTCCCCGAACGCCGGGCGGCAGCCGCCCCGTGCCGTAGCCGTGCCAGGCCACCACGTAGGGGTTGTCCATGGTCAGCCAGTAGCGCACCTGCCCGCCGAAGTGCCTGAAGCACAGCTCGGCGTAGTCGCGGAAGAGCCGGGGCAGGACGGGGCTGGCCCAGCCGCCGAGGGAGTCCTGCAGGGCCTGCGGCAGGTCCCAGTGGTAGAGGGTGACCACGGGCTCGACGCCCAGCTCCCGCAGGCGGGCCAGCAGCCGCCCGTAGTGCGCCAGCCCGGCGGGGTTGGGCGGCGCCGTCCCGTTGGGCAGCAGCCGGGCCCAGGACAGCGAGAAGCGGTAGTGCGAGACCCCCAGGCGCCGCAGCCCCTCGACGTCGCGGAACAGGTTGTTGTAGCTGTCGCTGGCCACGTCGCCGCCCAGGGGCCCCGGCGGGGCGGCCCCCGGCGGCGTGGCCGGGCGGTGAACGAAGGTGTCCCAGACGGACGCGCCCTTGCCGCCCTGTCGCCAGCCGCCCTCCGTCTGGTAGGCGGCGCTGCCCGCGCCCCAGAGGAAGCCGTCGGGGAAGGTGTCGTGGAGGAAGAGCTGGTCCTGCGGGTAGGGCAGCCGGGCGAAACGGGACCAGGTGCCCGCACCCTGCCCCGGCGCCGCCAGCCCCGGCCGCCACAACAGCAGCAGCAGCAGCGGCGGCGGCGGCAGCAGCGACGCGGCGAGGGCCATGCTCCCGGCGGGGCTCCGCGACGGCAGCTCCCGCCTCCCAGCTCCCCGCTGCCCCATTTTATCTCACCTTGCGCCCCCGCCTTCCCGCCCTGATGGGCACGGCCATTAATAATTACCTCGGAGCTGCCGCCTGCATCATTCCCAGCCGGTTCCATCGGGGAGAGCTGCCGCCGGGGGCGGGAGCCGGGGCGTGAGACGGGGCGGGCGGGGAGGAAAGGGGGGAAGCGGGGCGTGGGCTCCTCGGGGAGATCCCTGTCGCCCCTGGGTGCCCGTGGGTACCCCGGCCCCTCAAAGGGAAAGATCCCGGTCCGCGGGCTGCAGGCGGGGTGCCGCAGCCCTTCGCCCGCCCCGCCGGCTGCCCGCACCTCGCTGCGACTACATTGTCCCCTCGGAAGCCGGACCCTCGCCGCTGCCCTGCCGACTGTCTTCCCGTCGGAAGGGCCCGCGGAGACTCGACGGCCGGATCCGTCCGCTCTGAGGGGATGAGCGTAGCCCCTCCCGTGCCCCGCTGCAGTGCCGCCGTCGGGGGGTCCGTGGGGCAGCGCCCCTGCGCCCGACCGAGACAGGGGGAGCGGTCCCGGGGCTCGGCTGTGGGAAAGGCGAGGAAATAAAAACGCTTTTCCCTTCCCTCAGTGTTTCCGTCGTGGTAATTTAGCAAGACACATCGCACCTGGGATCTCTCATGTAGCAGCAGTTGCAGAGAACTCGTTGTCCAAGGACATCATACGCTCACTCCTCCCCGCCTGCTTCCCGGGAATTCATGGGTTGTCACCTCCCAGTAACAACTCTTTTGTTTCCTGGAGTAGGAGGTTGGTATATTTGGTTGCTTGCTGCACAAAAAACAAGTTCCAGTTAGAAATGCCTCACGGATCTTTACGGAGAGAAAACAAATCGAGTTAAGTTTGATTACTGAGTTACGTTTAGTAACCAACTGAGCAGGCGTGAGGCACAGACTGCTCTGTAAAGGCAGGTCTCAAACTGCCCTTTGCGTCTCTTGTGGACAGAACCATTTAACCATCGGGGAGAGCTGCCGCAAGGGCGAAGCCAGAAACACCCCAACACCTTGCAGAACCTGGTATTCAGTGGTGTGAACTCTTAACAGGATTTGGGACACCTAAGAATAGAATACATCTACTAGACAGGCTGTTAAGCACAGAGACATGTTCCCAGGAGATAAGGCTGAATGAAGGCCTTTAGGTAATTTAATTTTATTTTTAGAAAATAAACTTCCCCAGGGAAAAATTACAGATAATTGCTGATAATGAGTCAATGGATTTAAATGCTAGTTGTGAACTAATGAAGGTTTCTTTTTGTGCACAGGATGGGCTCTCACCTCTCCCAAATTCAGGCAGGGCAATTGCCCTGCCCGTGCCCGTTTCTATAACCTCCAACTTCCATATTTTCTGCACTGATCCAGATCAGTTTTAGGGATTGATTTGTGCTGTTTTTAAAGAGAACAAAGATGTAGGAGACAGAATTGGAATTAGTCTTCCATTGTGGCAATTATTATTAATTGCCATGTTAGGGGGATGGAGGTCTCAACAGTTCAGGGGACCATCAACAACCCTTCCCTAAAGGAGAAAGTTTGTAAAGCAGGAACAGGAGGTGGCAGGCCCAGAACCAAGGCTGGACATTGGTTTCCAGGAGTGAGTTTGGAATACAGTCTGAGAAGGTGCTGAAATTCAATTACAGTCTGAGTACATGACAACTTCAGATACAACAACAGAAAAAGATTGTTGGCATCAGCTGCTAGTTACTTGCAGAAACTGGAGATTGTTAAGTGTACTGGGGCATTGCTGCAATTGTCCCTGTGCAAGGAGTGGCTCCTGTTCAGCTGCAGACCTGATTTCAAGGGAAGCATAATGTCTTCACTGGATTTTGCTGACAAAGTATTTTAAAAATAGGAATGCACAGGCATGTGTCAGAAACACCAATACCTAAATAAAGATATTAGTGATGGTAAGTCTATTGGTAATATTTAAGGAAAAAAATATTGAGTATCTAGGGACACAAGAGATTTTGAAATACATATAGTATATTCTTTCTTCATGTGCTAATTATTAACTAAAACCTAGATCAATCCTATTTGTACTTTGCAAGAACCAATAAGTAGAGACTGAACTAAAGCTCCTTCACTTGTTTCTTCCAGAGCCTGTCAACAGTCAAGGCAAAGAAATTATTTGTTGGTGTTACTCTAAGTCAGTCTAGAGAACTTCTGAAACATCTGAGAATGGCTACATTATCCAAAAATTGTCAAAATACAGTGGAGTGTACTCCCGAAGCAAGAAGCCCATTTTTGAGGGACAAAATCTCACCATAAACCATTGGCATGAAGCTGTCCCTTCAACTTTGACTTTACCTGCATGTCTGACAGATGAAAGCTTTTTTTTTTTTTTTTTTTTTTTTTT